GGTTCCTGCCCCGGGCCGCGCTGTTGGTTTGAGAGATGGAAGTTCTGGAGGGCTTCTCCCGGGTCTGCGGGTTCTTCCCGTGTGCTTATTTTTATATGCATCACGTTGAAGATGGAGCTTCGTGTTCCTGAAGCGTCAGGCGGCGGCCGCGGCGTTAACAGGTTCATGGTGTCATAGCAGTGAGGTAAATGAAGCCTGATTTAACCAGTTTAAGGTGTTCTCATGACATTGAGTCTCCCCCGCTTAGGGATCAGAAAAATTATACTCTGCATCTTTAAGTCTTCTGAACGGAGACTGCTGCATGAACAAGATTTAACACCTCTTGCAGCTATACATTATAAGACCCCATGGAAGATTTATTCTTGTCTGTATTTTCTTCACTAGTTTTTTTCTTAGCTTTCTTAATTTACTGATGTAGGATTTCAAATAAATTGAGGTAAAAGCTCTTCCTAGTGCTCCCTTGAGGATGGGGTCTGACATGACTTAAGAAGCAGGGTTTTTTTTTAGCCCAGGACCACTTATGTATTTTTAAATTTCTTTTGAATGGAATGCTTATTCACATTTTGCATATTGAAATCCCATTCAAGTTACTTGGGCTTAAGAAACTTAGCACACAAAAAGATTCTGAAATACTGTCAGATGGGAAATCTCTGCTCTGTCAGTTCATCATTCTTTTAACTTCTTTCCTGCCTGTTACCAGTTTTGTCGGTATACGATCAGTATCTTGGTAAACCATAACTCTTAGGGAGGAAATAGAGAAAAAAATATGAACGGGCTTGTGCTGAATATATAAAAATAAATACATAAATATATTTACAAATGTACATTGATTATATTTAGACACTGTATGTACTGGTTAATATATCATCTGGAAGTTGCAGTCCCAGATTTTAAGTGAGACACTTTTAATTGCTCAGAGGCCCAACCAACTTTCTTTCCCTGCCCTCCCCTCAAACCAGAATTATTTCATGAGGTCTGAGAACTTGGCCTAATTAGCTTGTAAGAATACTTCCCTGATTAATT